CAAAAGCAGAAACAATAAAAGAAAAAAAAATAAGACCACATAAAAATTAAAAACTTGTGCTGCAAGTAATATCATCAGGAAAGTAAAAAGCAACTAACAAAGTAGGAAAAAATGTTTATAAATATATATCTGACAAGGAACTACTATCAAAATATATAAAGAATTCTTTTTTTTTTTTAAGAGAGAATTTTTTTTTAATGTTTACTTTTTTAGTTTTCGGTGGACACAACATCTTTATTTTTATGTGGTGCTGAGGATCGAACCCAGTGCCCCGCACATGCCAGGTGAGCGCGCTACTGCTTGAGCCACATCCCCAGCCCCTATATAAAGAATTCTAACAATTACAATAAAAATAACCCAAGTTAAAAACAGGCAAGGATTTGAATAGGCATTTTTGTCAAATAGAATATGTAAATAGACAATAAGCACATGAAAAGATGCTCAACGTTATTTGTATTAGGGAAGTGCCCGTCAAAGCCACATAGACACCACTCCAGAACAAGATAACTGTGGTATCAGGACAGACACACCAGGCGCACGCAGTGGTGCACACCTGTAATCTCATAGACTAGGCAGGCCGAGGCAGGAGGATCGCAAATTCTCAGTAACTTAGTGATACCCTGTCTCAAAATAAAAAATTAAAAGAGCTGAGGATTTAGTTCCATGGTAGAATGCTTGTCTATCATGTTTAAGGCCGTGGGTTCAGTCCTTAGAACTGCAAAAAGAAACCATCTAGTTTGGGCTACAGTCCTTGAACTACCACATAAAATCCTGCACTGAACAAATTGTGTCATTTGCTGCCTGAGGTAGGGCCAAGATCATTGTTATCTCCAGTGTCTAACACAGCTCTTGGGGCTTAGTAGCCACCCAGATGTTCAGTGAACTGAAATAACAACARTATTGTGACTAATTTTTTAAAAGGAAAAGTTAACCAATAATTGTTATCTTAGATGCAGGGCTTCCTCTCTCCTCTATCCTTTGCCTATCCTGTTTGTTTCTTTTTTGGTTTTGGTACCAGGGATTAAACCCCGGACCCAGAGGCTCTTTACCACTGTGCTACATCTCCAGCCCTTTTCGTTTTTTATTTGGGGATGGTGTCTCACATAGTTACCCAAGTTGGCCTCAAACTTGGAGTCCTCCTATCTCAGCCTCCTAAATTGCTGGGATTACAGGTGTGCATCATGGTGCCAGTTTGCCCATCCTATGTACAAATCTTACTATCAGCAGTATCTGCTTTACTACTTAACAAAACATTCTCTAATACATTAGCTCTGTAAATCTGAAAGCAACTGTGAGGTGGTGGAATTAGTAGGATTGTAAAGCCATTTGACAGAGAAGGAAATTGACTCAGAAAAGCTAAATAACTTGACTCAAATCACCCTGGGACATTGCCAACCTTGGAAGAATCTTTCCCTGGTGCTGTGCACCCCTCTCCCACCCTCAAGTTCATAATTAGGCCCCTGGCTGCTGGTTGCATGCCTGGATCACAGAGCTATAGATGGTTTACAAATCTCTGAGCATCAAATCCAAAGAGAGATTATTCTTTTGTTTGCCCTGTTGCATTATTCTGGCAATTCTCTGGGTAGAACATTCAAGAGTTAAAACCAGCAATAAAGATAAAATAAATGCTAAGAGTCAGTTTTTCTCAATCTGTTGCAAACAGATCTCCAAAGATAAGAAAATTGATTCTTATGATCAGATGCTGGTTCACACTGTGCCCACGATTTTATTCACTTTGTTCTGAAGAAACAAGTAATCAGCCCGTTTACCTACCATCCCCTGTGGCTGGGCACGGGGTTCTGCTGTGCGGCAGTTGGAGAAATTCAATTCAGCAGACATTTATCCATGTGCCTTCTCTGTGTCAGGCAGTGTAGGAGGGGCCAGGGTTGCAGAACTGAACGAGCCTAGTCCTTGTTCTCAGAGTCTAGGGTGTTCTCTAGGTCCTATAGTCATGGCATGCAGTTGTTCTTTAGGGAGAGGATTTGAATTCATTTGCTTTTACATTTTAATCAATTGAATACATGTTGTTTTATATGATGGTTATAATTTTTAATGGTGTTACACTGTTCCTCCATGATAGGATATGGATTTACCATCATAGCTTATCCATCTACTATCTAAACTCTAAGAACTTTGTGTGTGTGGAAAGTATAGAAAGAGAAGGATTAACATGGATATTTAGGACTCAGCGGTGGTGCAAAGTAATCTTTCATTTCAGGGGCAGCCCTGTGAAATTGAGTTTGATGACATTTCATCCCTTCAAAGATTAATAGGAGTTTTCAATAAAAGCATCAGGGTTTGCACATTTGGAAGTTAACCCAGCCACATCTCCATTCACATTTGTCATCATACCTATATGTCTTGTGAATTTATTTTTAAATGCTAGAAGTAATACATCAGCATTATAGAAGTGAGGAAAAATGGCAGAGGAAATAGTTGCCTAAAATGTTACTACTCTGATACTGAGAGACACTTGGACCTTGGGCACCTTATCTCTGAACCTTAATCTCCTCATCTGTAAAACTGAAATCATTTCAACTTTATGAAGCTTTGCTAAGGCTAAGAGATAGCACAGAACATATATCCAGAACCCAGAATAAGTGGATATTTTATTAGAGCAAAAATAACTTCTTTTGTGTGCATGGTGCTGAGGATGGACCCACATCTGTGCGTGCGAGGCAGGCCCCCTGCCACTGAGCTTCCCTGTAACCCCCCATCTTTATAAGATCCCTTTGTCTAGTTTTTCATGGTTTTTCTTTTTTGCAGTTTTTTTTTTGTTGTTGTTGTACTTCTGAACCCTCATTTCTTATTGCACATTATTATACGACCATTTTCCATGTTGCTATATATGATGGCTGTAATTTTTAATGGTGGTACACTGTTGGTCCGTGATAGGATATGGATTTACCATCATAGCTAATCCATTTACCCTATTGTGCATTTGGCTTGCTTCCAGTACAAATAACACTTCAACGAACAGGGTTTCTGTTGTTCTTGTGGTGCTGGAGAGCAAACCCAGGGTCTTACCCATGTCAGACAAGCACTCTACCACTGAGCTATGTCCTCAGCCCATTTTTTTTCACGGGCAGGGGCTACCAGGGATTTAACTCAGGGTCACTTGGCCACTGAGCCACATCCCYGGCCCTATTTTTTATTTTATTTAGAGACAGGATCTCACTGAGTTAGCACCTCATGGTTGCTGACACTGGCTTTTAACACCTGCCTCAGCCTCCCAAGCCACTGGGATTACAGGTGTGTGCCCCTGCGCCCAGCCTCAGCCCATTGTTGATATGTTCATACTTCCTGGGAAGTCTTAGGCAAGTACTTAACCTCTGTGGCGGTTGCCTTGTCTACTAACTGGAGAAGGAATGGTCTGTCGGAGAGGAGAGCTGCGTGGGTGAAATGGGGCAGCACAACAACCCGGGGAGCAGTGCCTGGTGTGTACCAGATGTTTAGTAAACATTACCTCTTACTCCTCTAGGCTTGCTCACCAGCCATGGGTTTCTTGATTCACTGCCCTCCAAGGATTTTGGCAGTTTCTGATATCAGCAGCAATATGTAAAAGGACCAGTTTCTCAACACCCTCATTAGCTGTGATCCTTGGTTTTAACTATGTAACTCTCTGTCCCTTTAAAATAGGGTAGCAGCAAGTATACAGCAGTTGCCTAGCAGGAGTGAGGCCCTGCTTTTCATCCCCCACACTATWATCAATCAATCAGTCAATTTGGAACAAAATAACAAATTCATCCAAAGTTGGGCAGCATGTTACCAGGGGATCTCTTCTGCACCTTCACCTGAACAGTCAATGCCCATGCCAAGGTCAAGTTCCTCAGGGTGTTTAGAATTCTGGTTTTCTGAAACCTATATCCCCAGCTGCATTCTACCAAACTATTGTGTAAGTTGGACCTTTGAAACTTAAAAAACCAGCGTATTTTATTTCTTACTGAAGTGCAGCCTCTCTGGATAAATTATAAAGAAGAGAGATTTATTTGAGGTCATGCTTCTGGTTCAAGGCCAAGAGACCACATCTGGTGGTGACCCTGCTGGCAGAGTCCCACGTGGTGCAGGGCATCACATAGTGATAGGGAACTTACATATGTCTGTCTTCTGGGAGGCTGCCGGTGTTCAGTCATGGGGCCTCCACCCTGACCAACCTATCTAATCCTCATTAATCTCTAAAAGGCCCCACCTCTAAGCCCCAGAGTCAAGTTTCTTCCCTTTTAATACCTCCCCAAAGACATTAAACTCCAACATGAGTTTCAGAGGGACAAATCCTATTCAGACCATTGGCAGACCTCTTTATATTTTTACTTTTCCTTAAATAAGACATCAGTTGGCTCTAGAAAAATCCATGTGGCAGGCAGTGGTCTCTGAATTCTTCTCCCATCTAGAGACAGTAAATTGGCAAGGATAACCAGTGTGCCCTGGTTTGACAGTTAATACTTGTTCTGGTGTAATTGTCTGTTGTGCTCTCTTCATCCTCTAAAATGACCTAGTTTGGATAACAAATTATACCATCCTCCTAGTCCCAGGGGCTTCTCAGAAGCTGGGGCATCTGCCCGTACTTGCCACCTCCCTGGTACTTAGCTGTCTGTCCAAGAAAGGTTTCAGCCATATTTTTTCTCACTGTGCTTAACCTGGGAGAGTCCAGTTTCCTTTTCTCTCTCTCTCTCTCTCTCTCTCTCTCTCTCTCTCTCTCTCTCTCTCTCTCTCTCTTTTGTTCTGGGAATTGAACCCCAGGGCCTCACAATTGCTAAGCACACACTACCGCTGAGCTGCACCCCAACTCCTACCAACCTCTTTTGAATTCACTTCGCCCACTGGGTATTCACTCAAATATTCTCTTTTCCTCAGAGTCTCACTGATGATTGTCAGTAGCAGAGGCAGGCACTTTGCATTTTGTTTCAAAAGTTGCTCTTTGTGCTTGTTATTGATGTTTCAGCTCATTTCATGCCACGGGCAAACATAACCCTCATTTCTCACCACTTGCAACTTTTCAGATTATATCTGCCTTTAATTTCATCTTAAATATAAACCTCTTCTTATTGGAATTTTTAAGACTCACTGCTCTTGCCCTCATCAAATGCAGTAAGGTTAATTACATTCATAAAGCTCCCCGGAAGCCCCCATGCAAACAGATCCACAATGAGTGAGCAATGACAAGGACAAATCTCAAGTGCTAATACACAGCTCCTGTCTCCATGAATGGCCACAGGCAGAGTGTTGCTTTTAAGATAAAGGATTATAAGTACAGAATCTTCTGCATTAGAAAAACAAAAAGAAACTAGCTTCTCCCTGATGATTACCTTGTGTACTTAGGTAACTGTGTTTTCACTAGTCTATAGGGCTTTGTGATTTGAGAAGCTCTAAATAAGTACCTGTCTTCCTTGGGTAAGTTGTTCACAGTTTTAAGGAAGCAAAGTGTCTGGGTGAGAGATCCTGCCAGGCCGAAGCAGGGCAGTACCTGTGTGGGGGYTACAGTTCCTACATGCAAATGGGGATTCTAAATGGGAGTTTATTTTTCTGTCTGTTTTAACTAGGTGACTTTCGGATGGTGATTGGAGAGGATAAGACAAAAGTGTTGAACATTGTACTGCCCAACATGGCCCATTTCCGCGAGCTGTACAGCAGCATTCTACAGGAGAATCCCCAAGTGGTGTATAAAACCCAGCAAGGCAGACTGGAGGTAAACCGTAGGTGGGAAATAACTTCCATCGCTCCTAAGGCAAGAGCTACATGAGGTACTGGGAATTGAACTGAARAGACAACTTTAAGAAACAGGAATTATTATTATTTTTGGTATTGGGCATTTAAGCCAGGGTGCTCTACCACTGAGCTGTACCTGCTGGTCCTTTTTTTAACTTTTTTATTTTAAGACGGTCTCGCTGAGTTCCCCAGGCTACCATTGACCTTGTGATGCTCCTGCCTCAGCCCCCTGAGTTGCTGAATTGTAGGTATCCACCACTGTGCCTGGCAAGAATTCTTTATAAAACAAGAAAAGAACAGATAATGTGAAATGCCAGAACAATCATTGCTCATTTTAAGGGATTTTGCCATGCTTGCTTCAAATTAAAGTATTTTTGTTTTCTGCTTTTTAAATTTTTACTTTTATCAAAATATCTGCCCATGGTTTAAAAGCCAAGTGGTACCTTGAGGTTTATAACTATTTATAACAGTTCCCTGCTCTGCCCTTCTCTGTTTTCTCTATCTACTCCAGAGGCAGCTTCTTCAGCTTTGTAGCTGATTCCTGTGATATTTACCACCCCCTTCTAAATAACAGGATTTGACTTCTTTCTTGACTGTTTTCAGCTTTATACTTTATTTTTGCCATCCTACTGTGAAGACGACGWTTTTTTTCACTCTTACACTACCCCATCAACACACACACGTCTTTTTCTCCTGTTTCACTCTCACTTTTCCCCTCTTACCTCACCCCCTCGMGTTCCACTATAGTTATTTTATAACTATTCATTACGTTAATATTCAGCATTTACTTCATTATGACAATCCCCCCATGCTGGGGATGGAACCCAAAATGTTGCACATTCTAGGCAAGTGCCCTACCACTGAGCTCCACCCCCAGGGCTCTGACAGCTTCTCTTTTATTGCTGAGATACAGTATTATGAAATTCCCTTTCCTGTACAACTTGTTTCTCCTGGAGTTAATTGCCTCCCCCCTCCCGCTTGCTTGGTTTATTTGGTAGAGTTCTTGTGCTTGCCTAGCATGGGGAAGGCCCTGGGTTCARTCCCACCACAGGAAAAAGAAAAAAAAATCCTCCACCTCTCAGAGATCTATAAAACTCATCTACTTATATCAAATACRTTGAGTGTTTTCTCCCCCGGCCCCTTGAGGACATTCTTCCATGAGGCCCCTGTTCTGTCCCTTCCTAGGCTACTTGTTTTCTAGGATTAGGGTCCTAACTTCTTTTTGTTATCACCCTGAGAATTTCCCTTGTTAGTCTGTCCTTTGCTATTCTGTCTTCTGGATCTTGTATCTTCCTCCTCCATAATTCTGGTGAAGTATGTCTGTTAGTACCTTCTTCACATAGATTTTGAGGGCGGCAAGTGTTTGAGATCAGATACCTCTGATAAATCTATCTCACTGATGGATCATTCAATCAGTAATAGGCTAGATATCAAATTCTAAGGTAGAAATCATTTTCCCTCAGAAGGTTAAGTCACAACTCCATTTCTTCTTTCAGTATTGCATTAAATATTTGGTGGCATTCAGATTCCCTATCCTTTGGATATGACCCCTTTTAATCTCTCTGACAGTGTTTAGGATATTTTCCTTTTTGCAGATTTTTGTTGTTTGTTTGTTTATTTGTTTTGGTATTGGGGATTTAACCCAGAGGCTTTGAACCACTGAGCTATTTTTTATTTTGAGGCAAGGACCTGCTAAGTTGCTCAGGACCTCACTTAGTTGCTAAGGCTGACCTGGAGCTTGCAATCCCCCTGCTTCAGCCTCCCAAGTCACTGGGATTATAGGCATATGCCCCACACCCAGCCACTTTTGTTAACTTTTGTGATGACTTGCTTTTATTTTTGAACACGTCTGTTTTAAATTTATTATTTGAGCACTTGGTGGGCCTTTTGTATCTGGAAAATTATGAAGTTTAGTTTTAGAAAAYCTATTGTTTCTGAAATAATTTCCTCATACTCACTTTCTTAGTCTATTCTTTTGGGAATTCCTGTTATTTGTAGAACTCCTGCTTTGATTTTTTTTTTTTTTTCCTTTCTTTCCTGTTTCCTCAGGTTTTTCTGTTCAGCTTTCTGGAAGAATCTTTCAAGATTGATTGTTTAACTTTTCTACTGAATTTTCAGGTCCCATTGGAGATTCTTTTTTCTTGCTTTATTAATGCATCATCTCTTCCTCAATTCTTTAATGATGTTTATCATAATTTTGAAGTTTTTTTCTTGCTCCCTTTATTTGTCTTTCTTAGTTCCTTTCATTCGCTCATCTATTGTATTAGAGGTCTTCCTCAAATATCTGGATGCTTTTTCTGGCCTCTTTTTAAAAAGTGAGGCACTAAAATGCAGACTGAGAGTTCCTTGTGACAGATAGGGTATACCAGCTGATGGGCTTCATATAGAATCATGTTCCAAGTACTTGGCTATTTTATTAGAGGACCCCAAATGTCAGTATCTGTAGAATTTCTTCAGAGAGACATCTAGAGGACAGTGAAGGGTTATATTTCTACATGCCAACTTTTCTAAAAACTGAGCAAAAGAAAAGGATTGGAATTTCCTTTAGTACAAAGCTAAGCTTATTCAAACTCCTCCCTGTGATCTGCAAAAGCAGATGTATGATCTAGTTTTCAGTTGGTTTTGTGTCCAAGGTATTTATAAAATAAATAAAAATTTGTTTTAGTTGCAGTTGGACACTRTATCTTTATTTTATTTTTGTGTGGCGCTGAGGATCGAACCCAGCACCCTGCACGTGCTAGACGAGTGCCCTACCGCTGAGCCACAACCCCATCCCAAAAAACGAAATATTTTTTTAAAATATAAATAAATAAATAAAAAGGTATTGTGTCCAACTACAACTAAAAAATAAATATAAAAAAAAAATCTGGGCAAGGGATGCTRAGGGATCTGTATCTGCAACCCTACCTCCTGTTGATCAGGGTCATTTGCTCCTGTTGATATGTAAGCACCTCATTTCCTGGACTTTCAGCATGGAATTCTAAAATAATCTATCGCAGTCCTAACTTTAAGTTTAGTGAGATATTTGCTGTGTCTTGGGAGAAGCCATCCKCCTCTGAGAACTGGGACCTTTAAATCCATAGATCTAGAGTTTTGAGATGAGACATRCTGATTCCCAGGTGGTCATTGGAGGTGATGCTAAGCAGGTCACTCGGTTCCCAGACCTATGTCTCTGTCATTTGGAATGGTATGATGCAGTGGTCATTAATTTAGGACATCTACTACACCATCCCCACAGGGTATCATTGCCAAGCTGGTGCCTTAGCTGTTCCTTGGTATCTGTCATAGACCTTTTCAATGTGACCTGCTAAAATTTTAAGCCAGAAAATTATTTGTTGTGTGGGGCAAAAAATTGTCCCCCTTTGAGAACCATTGTTCCACTGGGTGGTAGTACAGTGGAGCCGTGATCCAGTGCCCACTGCTGTCCCTCCACTCCTCCTTTTCTCTAAAGTGAGCCCCATGAGTTCTGTCACATAGTACACCATGTTGATGAATCTGAGCCCCATGCAGTGGACTGGCTAGATTCTGTGGACAGGAAAGGTAAAGCTGTCATCCTCTCCTCTCTCTTGGTATTGGGTCTGAACATTGTTCTCTGTTCTGCCTCTAGAACCTAAGGAGGCCCAGCACATCACTGTGCTTCTGTCTTAATGGTGAGAGACATGAGATGCCATAAGTTAACTTCTTCTCTAGAGAAGATGTCCCAGCATTTAGGGATCAAGACTACTTGACCCTGCCAGGCACGGTGACACATACCTGTAATCCCAGTGGTTTACAAAGCTGAGGCAGGAGGATGGTGAGTTAAAAGCCAGCCTTAGGAAATTAGTAAGGCCCTATCTCTAAATAAAATATAAAAAGGGCTGGAGATGGGGCTCGGGGGTTAAGTGCCCCTGGATTCAMTTCCCAATACCAAAAAGAAAAAAAAGATTATTTGACCTCTAAAAATCTCACCTAGGTGGTAGGCTCTGGGAATCTTCATCAGTATCTCAGATCCTCTGGAATGAATCTATCTGCCAAGGCCTCCAGTGTACCTGTTCCTTATAGCTCACCAGGTGACACATTATGTCAGTGATCTAGATCAACATGGTGATATATTGAATGTCCAAATAAACTGGCTTCCTTCAAGTATATCAGAGGGGGGGGATTTCTAGCTGTGAGGCAAACCATAAAGTGTACTGTTTTCTGTCCCGTGAGGGAGAGCTGATTCTGATCCTCTGACCTAGTTGAGATGGAGAAAAGTGCGCTCATTCACTATGTCTGTGATCCCAAACACATTCCCATAGTTTTATTGATCTGCTTTTAGAAGATTTACCACATCTGGCACAGCAGATGCTGTTGGGGTTCCTACTTGCTTGAGTTTGTAACAGAGTCTGCTGAAACCCACCAGGCTCTATTTGGTTTTATAAGGGCCACACTTAATGGGGATATAATGGGGGTCCATCAATCCTTGTGTTTGTCAGGATTCTCCAGAGAAACAGAACCAACAGAGGGAGGGAGGGAGGGAGGGAGGGAGAGAGAGAGAGAGAGAGAGAGAGAGAGAGAGAATATGAATGAATGTGTGTGTGGAGAGAGAGAGAGAGAAATTGATTTTAAGAGATTGGCTCATGAGTTATGGGATCCGGTGAGTTCTTTTTTTCATTACTGGGAATTGAACCCAGGGATGCTCTGCCCCTTAGCTACATCCCCAGCCCTTGTTATTTTATTTTGAGACAGGGTCTCCTGACATTGTTGATGGCTGGCCTCAGCTTCTCAAGTCACCAGAATTATAGGCATATGGTACCATGCCTGATGAGGTCTGGCAAGTTTTGAGTTTTGAGACCCATGGAGGAGTCAGCCTTGCAGCCTTGAATCTAGAAGCAGAATTCCTGGGGTTGGGAGAGAGAGACTTTAGCCTTTTCTCTTAAGTCCTTCAACTGATTGGATGAGGCCTATCCRTAATCACAGAGGATAATCAACTCTACTCAAAGTTGACTGATTTAAATGTTGTTTGCATCTTAAAAATACCTTCCACTCAACATCTAGACTGGTGTTGAACTCAGCAGCTGAACACTACAGCCCAGCCCAAGGAAACACAAAATTAGCCACCACATCCTTGAGGGCTGCAGCTGGTACTAATCACTGCCATCTCTCCCAGGGTGATGTTTTATTTTTCCTTTACTCTTTTGATCAGCAGAGAGAGTGTCAACTTCACAGACTTCCACTTGGTCTTCTGCACTGTGGCAGCTCCAGAATTCCATCTTGGAGTCTGCCTGCGAGGACCACCCCTGGCACCAGTTGTGTAAGGTCCAGATTGGGCAGATTTGCTAAAAAAGGCTTCTGGTCCTGTGGTGGTGCTTGGGAGCCAGAGGGCCCCTCAGAGTTGTCCCAACTTGACTCAGAGGCTAGGCCTTTGTACTCTGGCATTGTCCARTTATTGGATACAGGCAACTCCCTTTGGCTGGAGACAGTTCTAAGAAGGACTCCGGGAGGGGGACTTGGCTGACTTTCCCAGTACCTTGGTCCACCTCAGATCCGGGTGGTATGCCACAGTGTCTACCATCACAGGACTCTGTCTGCTTTTTTTAAATATGAGTTTTATTGATGTATTTTTTATGTAACATAAAATTGAACCCAGACGCACTGTACCACTGAGCCATACCCACCACCCTTTTTTATTTTTTTATTCTGAGACATGGTCTTGCTAAGTTGTCCAGGCTGGCCTAGAACTTGAGATCTTCCTGCCTTAGCCTCCTGAGTTGCTGGGATTATAGTTGTACACAAATTCATTGGCCTTTATTATATTCACAGAGTTATGCAGCCATCACCACAGTCTARTTTTAGGACATTTCCATCMCTCTGTACAGAAACCCATACCCATTAGTAATCCCCAGCTTTCTTCTCCCCCAGGCAACCATTAAYCTACTTTCTGTCTCTATGGATTGGCCCACTCTTCATATAATGGACACTTCATATAAATGGAATCATACAATATGTAGCCTTTTTTATATCTACTTTTAAAATGTATTTTGACTTTCACAATTTAACTGCTTCCACTTTCACACTTTAATGAGAATCTAAAAATAAAAATAATCATTTTACCAATTTATTTGAACATGTCACCTAATAATTTTTCTTTAAATACGATYTCAAATAAAAATTCCAGTGCATTCTTTTCCTCAAGAGAAAGCATTGGCAAACACTGTTTTCTAATTCCTCATATTACTCAAGCCATTTTGGCATTTCTAAAATTCCTAGAATCTATATTTCATTGCCAAAGCATAACTTAAATATAATATCCTTTTGACCTATTTCAATACATGGCTCCAAAACAAGAATCTATAAAAATCATTTATAGGATATTCTACAGAAATATGAACATTTTTTTGTCATCTGTATAGCCAATGATACATAAAGGTGGAACCTATGAATGTAGAACAATCCTAGTAATAAATATGAGGTATTTAGATTTTGTAAAAAACACCTGTGTATCTTTAATGGAGCCACTAATGGTATTTCCTTCTTCTTTGCGTAGATTTTTTTAAACAAAACTAGAAAATACAGGCATTTAATATATGTAGACTTAATAAATATTTGTTGGGTTAGGGTTGTAGCTCAGTGGTAGAGCACTTGCCTCACATGCTRGGAGTCTCCTTCTAGGACCGTCGCTGGCACCAGTTGTGTAAGGTCCAGATTGGRCAGATTTGCTAAAAAATCTCATGGGTTCAATCCTCAGCATCACATAAAAATAAATAAAAGATATTGTGTCCATCTACAACTAAAAAAATATTGTTAAAAAGTAAAATAAAATAAATGTTTGTTGAATGAAAAATATAATAGAATGAGTGAATTCTAATTATTAAGAAAATTGATCAAAGTTAGAAAACCTGAATCTAAAATTTCATACATTTATTCSTCCAGGTTTTTTGTTTTTTAACTATTCTCTTAAATAAGTTAAGGCCCAAACATTTTTTAAAAGAATATAACAGAAATTCCTACTTAGAAAATAATGTGGTGGGGGCTGTATTTTGAGGCTTAGTGGTAGAGCGCTCRCCTGGCATGTGTGAGGCACTGGGTTCGATCCCTCAGCACTATATTAAATAAAGGTATTGTGTCCATCTACAACTGAATATATATATATATATATATATATATATTTTTTTTTTTTTTTWAATAAAATTACATGCTGTGCTGCTTGGGGCAGCATTGCTGATTCTCCTCTTGGCAGGCAAGCAGTGTTTACATGTAGACTTTTTAAAAATGTGATTCCATGAAGCACAGTAAAGTGTAATGGTGAAGCTGGTCTGGTCACAGTCCTGTGACTACCTTTTGATTCTATGATTTCCAGGAAGAGTCTAATGCATAGTTTTGTATGTTTTATTCATGTATCTTTCACAGTGTACTTTAGAACTCATTAGGAATAGAGCCACTCACATTGCTCACTCTTATTTAGCAAGTGACAACAGCTAAGTTATATTGATTCATTTATTCATTCCCTCATTCATCCAATATATTTCGAGTACCTACTATGTGCCAGAGGATTAAAAGTGAATATTAGTCTTCCTCGTCAGTATATTCCTACAATTTGTGAAGTCCAATGTGGTATGTAAAAGGCTGTAAGGACAAGAAGCACAAATGCACATGTTTCCCTCTATTACTGAATGTGTGACCCAGTGATGTTAACTCAAGGCTGCATTTAACATGGGAAGATGATCTAAGTGCCCTGGTTTGATAGGTATTTGTTACCTGTAGCCCACCTTTTGTAACCACTAGAGACAAATAGAAATTTTAACTGAAAGTCAGAAACTCATCCTTAAAAGAGGCTTCTCTTCTTTTGTCAAAATGGAATATTATAGGAAAAGAATTATCCTTTTTGAAGGGACTTGGTACTCTAAACACGAAGACATTGAGTTTCAGAAAGAAGAGAGTTTCCCTAGCATGCTGCCTAGGTTAGGTGTGGGTGCTTATTGTTTGTGTGATTTGATTTGATTTTACTTTATTTTTAACAGAAGAAAAAAACACACTTAATTACATATGTATGCATGGGAGCCCCACATAATATGAGATCCCTGTTTTTGTTATTTTAAATAGAAGCCATGTGTCTCTGAATATTTATAGAATTGAAAGCACTTCCATAGACATCATCTCTCTCTTTCTTCCCCCCTCAGATAGATAAAAGCCCAGAAGGACAATTCACTCAGCTGATGACATTGCCCAAAAYCTTACAGCAACGAATAAATCACATTATGGATCCTCCAGGAAAAAACAGAGATGTGGAAGAAACTTTACTCCAACTTGCTCATGATCCTGACTGCGGTGATGTGGTGCGGCTGGGTATGTTTGTGTGTCTGAGGCGAGGAAGTGCTAGCTATAGTTAAAGCAGGCTTTGTGTGCAGTGGAGAGGTATTATTTCTTCCTTCTTCCCCAGGAGATTGAGAGAGAGATTGCCTCAGGGAAGAAGAAAAGCTCCAACACTTTGGGGTTTTTCCCAATCTACATTTTCATTGGCTTGAAATAAGGTGGTGGAAATCCTTTTTTCAGATTTCTATATCCCAAATCACTGTCAAAGGGAGAAGCTGCACTGCTTTTCGTTCCAAGAACATAACTTCTAGAAGTTGTTTAAAAGATGGGCCTGTCTTCTCCATGGTGGTCTAAGAAGGAAGGAGACTGGTGACATTTTTAATGTTTTCATAATATCACACCAGCTGGGACACAGCTCTCCCCAGCCACTAGATGTGTCTCAGTCTGTGTTCAGCAGGTTCCTTCTGGCATGGCCCACATTTCACAGCATCATCCCAGGGGCTCCCCAAATGTCAGAAAAAATTGGAAACTTCAGAGATCTACTTCCCCAGAGRTGGTAAAGGTAATTTACGAGGTCAGCCAGTAAAGAAATAATTACAAATTGAGAATGTCTCTCAAATGAGTGCCTTCTCCTCTTATCATTTATTGAGCTTTTAGTGAGCCCTCCCAGGTGCAGGCCTCCCTGCCAGATGTAATTCTCAATCACAGTGCTGAACACTGCTGTCCTGGGTGGCTCCTCGCTCTCCAGCAGGACCTGCCCAGGTTTTCAGAACACACATTTTTATGCTCCCTGCTGCAAAGTTCTGAGGCCCATTGTTGTTGTTTGTTTTAACGTGTCCTAGTAACAGTCTGACCTCTGCTGCTGCTTTGAAGGGATGGAAGACTTGTACTGTGGCTCCTCACTTGAATACACTCTACATGTGTTTTCATGATGGAGATTTTTCTCCTAGATTAAAAACACACACACACACACACACACACACAAAAAAAAAAAAAAAAAAAAAAACCTTGGGTTTTTTTGTTTGTTTGTTTGATTTTGATCTTTTCACATTTTGGAATTGAAAACCAAAAACCTTACATGGACTGAAATTCCTAAAATGTCCTTTGAGGGTTCTCTGCTCTCCATCTCTTGTTTTAAGGTGAGGTGGCCTGGGCCCAGAGCAGTTCAGTCATTTTTCCGAGCKCACACAGCTGGGCGGTGCCAGAGCTGGCCCCTCCAGGGTCCTGGCCCTCAGTCCTGATGCCCTTTTCACTGCCACTCTGTGGCAGCAGAAGAGCTGGATTTGCTGCTTTTACTGGATAACTAGAAAGAATATTTATTTTCAGGTTTTAAAACTGTTAAGATAACTAACATCTGTTTTTGGTTTTCTTGGTGTCCTATTTTTTTTTTTTTTTCTCACAGGGCTTTCAGCAATCGTGAGACCTTCCAGTATAAGACAGAGTACCAAAGGCATTTTTACTGCTGGTAAGAACTTTAGGAAATCCATATGGCGGCGACTGGATTGTGGCTCCGTGGGCGACTGCTGGCCTAGCATGCATAAGACTGCAGACTCGATCCTCAGCACCCTACAGAAAAAGAAAGGAGAGAAAAGCCATAATTCACACACCAGCTGGGTTGAGTGGCCTTAGTGCTCCTGGTTAAAACCAAAATACGACTAACTTTCCCTGTGTATTGGTGAAAGGCTAAACTCTAAGTGTCACACACTGAGATGTTTAGTAACATAAAAACAGGCCTAGGAGCAGTGTCATCTGGTAGCCCAAAAAAGCCACACCAGTTGAGGTGCTGTCAAATGTTTCGACAGCTCCTTCCTGGCAGGGCTTCTTTCCTTATGATTTTATATTTATCGCATAAATATAAACATTGTAAAACAGCAGTCTCCTGCACTCCCGCTTCTTCTTCCCCCTCTTCAGAGATAATTCCAGGTCTCTAGAGTTATTTTTGGTTTTATTGTCATTTCTGAGAATAATGAGTTTCTCTTGCTCCTTCAGTGTTTATCTTCAGGTCCAATCTGTTGGTGTCTCACTATGGGGGATCAGAATTCGACTCCTGCATCCACCCTCACCATGCTTATTCTCTGGTTGTCTCCATCCTAAAATACTTGTAGTTTCGCCAAGTCAGCATTTACATTTAACTTTTTTTTCATGGGGGTGGGTACTAGGGATCAAACCAAGGGGCTTTTTACCACTGAACCACATCCCCAACCCTTTTTATTTCTTAATTTGAGACAAGGTCTCGCTGAGTTGCTTAGGACATTCTTAAGTCACCCAGGCTGACCTCGACCTCATGATCCTCCTGCCTCAGCCTCCTGAGAGCGGGGATTACAGATGTGCCCCACCACACCCAGCTGGCATTTAACATTGTTATGAGCCACATGATATCTTTTCCTCCCCTGCAGTGGAGAGWGTCTCCACCTGTCCTTTTGTCTTTTGTGGGAATTCACTGTCACTGTGTCTTTCGCTTTGTTAGTGTACGTACCCATTTTGATGAAGTGAAGCACATGATCCAGTGATTTCCTGAGAAAGGGTGCGTAGGATACAAAGTTGGGGGCTATGCATGGCTGAAAATTTCTTTATCTACCCTCACACACAATTAATACTTAAGTTGGGTATCAATTAAAAATCATCTCTCTTTAGAATTAGAAATTCTAGTCTTTAGAATTCTGAGATCATTGCTGCCATATGTTCTCACTKCGAGATGCTGTTGAAGTGCAAAGCCATTGATTCTTAATCCTTGATGCATGCATGTTCTTTCTGGAAGACCATTAGATATTGCCATGTTTTCCCTCCAAAGTGACCATATTGATTCATAGTCCCACAAGCACTGTGTGAGAACTTGCTCTTCTCCCCATTCTTCCCAACGAACGATTGGCTTTCCTCCTTCAGTCTTTCTTCATGTTGACCATCTCTCACAGCACTGTCCTGCCTTCCAGGAGCTCRAAATCTAGAGAATACAGATGTATTAATAGAAACTGGTAATCTTAGGTGCAAATAGGACTGAAGTAGCCCCAGAAAGGGAGTGATCTTTCCACCTGCACCTGCTCCCTGCATTTGTGATCTCCTGGGCACTGGTGTGGTCTTTCAGTGTCTTCCAGCCCAGCTGCCTGGGTGCCCATTCAACATTTGGGCCTCAGGACATAGCATCGCCCTCCTGAACTTCTAGGAAGATTTGAAGTAAGGATCTTCCTACCACTTGGGGGTGCAAAACTTTGCATTTCAAAGTAAGATAATCATTTAATCTATGTTCTTGCTGGTTTATCCTGGCAAGACTACAGGTGAGGTGCTTTTGTTTGCTYKAGTGATTCAGGCTGTTAATTAAGGCTTTGCATGATCGCCACTCCCTTGCCATGATCCTTCTCGAGGCTTGACGATTTGTTTTCTTGATCTTGGCTTTCTATTCTATAAGGAATATTAGAATTATTATTGTTACATTTTTAGTTGTGTTAATAATGTGRTTATGGGGTTTTAAAAGACCATTTTCTTCCAGAGATAACATACTAAAATATCTGTGGATAAAATGTCACAGTGCCTGGCACTGGCCTCAAAATAAAGCATGATAAAGAGAAGTGAATAAGGACTGAATGACACAAGATTAGTCTTGAGCCGATATGTTGTTGTAGCGAGTGAGGAAATGTGGAGATCTGTCATACTATTCTGTGTGGTGTTTTTTGTTTGGAGTTTTTTTGTTTCTTGGTGTATTTGTTTGGTACTGGGGATTGAACCCAGGAATGCTTACCCACTGAGCCACATCCCCAGCCCTTTTTATTATTTTGAGACAGGGTCTTACTAAGTTGCTGAGGCTAGCCTCATACTTGAAATCCTCCTGCCTCAGTTTCCTGAGTTGCTGAGGTTACAGGCATGTGCCACCATTACAGGATCTGGTTTTTTTTTTTTTTTTCAATAAGCGTGATTTTTTTTCTCTAATAAAAGATTTTAAAAGTGCCATCATCATCATGATCTCTTATACCTCCAGCCTGGAATGAGACTGATCCAGCCTCTTTTGCTTATTCTTTCTCATTGCCAGCAGGGGGCAGTGGATTGCAGAGCCTGCAGCCCAGGTGTCCCCGGGGTGTGGATGCTGCTTCCTCTGAGCACTTATTTGCTTTTCTTTCACTTCTAAGGATGCCACATTGCACCGTGGAAGTAGAGCAACAGAGAGTACGTAACCTGGCTCTGAGGCTGCAGAAACTGGAGAATGGCRAGCACCTCTTCAAATTCTGTGGGTTTCCCTACGTTGTACTGTGGTTTCTGTTTATGGCAGTCATGGGCTGTGATGAGGTGCTGAGTGCAATGCCAGGGACAGGGACTTGTGAACCCTGGAGACTAGCGTTCACATCTTGACCTCTGTGACTTGAACCACTTGCTTAATTTTTCTGATTTTCTATTTTCTATGCCTGTCTTACTAGGTTGTGAAAATCTCCTTTTTTTTTTTTTCAAGATTTTTTTTTTTTTAATATTTATTTTTTAGGTTTCGGCAGACACAACATCTTTGTATGTGGTGCTGAGGATCGAACCTGGGCCGCACACATGCCAGGCGAGCGCGCTACCACTTGAGCCACATCCCCAACCCCTGAAAATCACTTCTTAAGACGTTAAGGGAGTCCCCCTCTTCCTTCCCTGGCAAGCCTCTACCCCTACAGGGGTAGAAAGGAAGATTTCCTCTTAGCTAGAATTCTGCTAAGCCTGGGGAGACAGCTAACCAAAGGGGCTAAGCTTGGGGTTAGAAGACGTTAGTTTGAGGTTCTATTTTTTTGTTTCTTCATTGTTTAACCTTGGTATGTTAATGATCCTSTCTCCCATGAAACAGGGATACCAATACCCAACTCACAGGGAGTTCCGAGGCCTAAAAAGGCATCTCGGGTGCTATATAAATGTCACTCTTCCTAGAAAGAAATRGAAATCAGGTATCTGTAACCAGCTCAGAGGATTGTGCATCTGGTATATTCTGTTAGAGGACATGGTAGTGTATTCTCATATAGCTTGACACTCTCTCATAGTTCTTTTAAAATTTCCTGAACATTGGATACACCCATGTTCCAGTGTGAGAACAGAAATGCTTCCAAAGCTAAGCACTATTGTTTTTTTTCCCCCTCTTTTTCCTGGGAGTTTCTTGTTTAGAAAATAATATCAACTTCTCCTAGACCAGGCTTTAGTAGACTAGTGTCTTTCTCATCAAGGTCACAGGTCAGCAGCTGAAGCCAGCCAGCTCAATAAAAGACTGTGGCCTCCTCATACCTGCCTCTCTGCCTGTCATGGTGGCAGCAGATGGTGTCACTTCTCAAGYTGGTGATGAAAAAATACAGGAAGAGAGGGAGAGGAGGGGTCAGACTCAACTCAGGTTCTGGCTTGGATGGTAGAGGCTGCTCTCTGAGCTGGAGGAGGCTCTGAGTCTGATCTCAAAGTCTTGCTTTGTTTTCCATCTGGCTTTGGACAGTCAGACTAACTTCTGGGTCAGATACCTCTTTACCACTTCAGCTTCAAAAGATTCAAGTGAATTAACAAGGCAGGTTTGGTCTTGTTCCTGAAGAGATTCTGGAATGCCTCAGTTGATCCTCTCCAGCCCTTTCCTGAAWCACAATAGAATGTCACCATTTCCTCTCTGATTTCTTAAAACTAAAGTGTTTCTCCCAATTTTTTTCACTTCAAATTTAAACAAAAATATGAAAATTTTTTCTTCCAATGCTTTTTTTTTTTTCAGTACTATATATTGAACCTTGATACTCTCTCCACTGAGCTACACCCCTCACCCTTTTGATCTTATTTTGAGACAGGGTCTTGCTAAGTTGCCAAGACTGGCCTGGAACTTGTAACACCTCTACCTCACACTCCCAGGCACTGGGGTTATAGGTGCACACCACTCACTATGCCGTGCTGAAAGTTCTTAGAAAAAGTTGTACTTTTGCCTCAGGAGAAATTTTCTTTGTAGGTATGTCTGGCTGTGGTTGGAAATTAATGGGAAGAGTGTAGGGGGCTTCCTGATTTGCTCCCTAAAAAATCTAAATATAGAATTATAGGAATATAGAGACCAGTCATCCTAGTCATATCTCTGGCTCATAGTGTTTTCTGGAAATTTTGTCTGTCAGGGACCCTTCTACTTAAGGTCACACAGAGGCCTTCCGTGTTCATTAACTTTGCTGCAGGTCACTGAAGTAGGCTGGACCTCAGCATAAGAGATGCCTCAGGAACCCTATGTTGATGGAGATTTCTGTGTTCTTCCCGGGCAAAACCTCCTTCTGCAGCACTAATCCATATCGTAATGACTAGCCTGAGCATCTCACTGCAGAGAATGGATGCTTCTAAGGGGACATTGCACCATTTTGAGCAAGGAGCAGAAGACAGAGCCAAGTTTCTCTCTCACCAGGCTCTCTTCTCTCAGAGACCATCTAAAAGCATTCTGGGGAGTCATAGAATTCCTAAATCACTACCCTTTTCTCTAGAAAGAAAGCAGAAACAAAGAACAAGCTTAATGCATGCTCAGTAGGATCCTGTGGATTGTAAGCTCTGTGAGGTCAGAGACCACCCGCCGTCCATGCCAACACCCCCAACAGCTTGCCCAGTGTGCACAGCAGCATGAGTGCCCAAGGACTCTCCCACTCCTCCCACAGGCGCTGCTTCCCAAGGCTCCGCACCAGCCTGACTCTCAATGCCATGGTTCTGTTTTGCCCATTCTGGAGCTTTATGAGAATATGTGCTCTTTTGCATCTTCATTTCTCATTAGTCCTCAGAACATCAGGCGCACCACGTGGTTGGGAGCGGCAGGAGTCCATTCATTCCCATTGCAGTTTTCCCAGTGCATCCACTCTACTGTTGATGGACACTTGGGCAGTTTGCAGTCTGGGACTATGTCAGATAGTGCAGCTGTGCATGTTTTTGTACTGATCTTCTAGTGAGCATGCGCATGCATTTTGGTCAGGTGTATACTCCGGGAGAATTTCTAGGTCTCAGAGCATGTGAAGGTTCAGTGTTAATAAATAACAAATAGTTGTCCAGCTTTACAGTCCCACTAGCAGAGTTCCTGTTGCAGCACCTGCTGGCTAGAACTTGATAGTGTATGTTCTTTCCAGTAAGTAGGTATTGGTACCATCTTGGGGTTTAATTTACATTTTTCTGATGACGAAGGAAGTTGAGCATTGTTTGTTTCTAATATGTATATATATTTTACTTGTAGGAGGACACAATACCTTTATTTATTTTTATGTGGTGCTGAGGTCAAACCCAGTGCCGCATATGAGATAGGCAGGTGCTGTCTCATTGAGCTATAACCCCAGCCCTTGGCATTTTTTGTATGCTTATTTGGATATCCTCTTTTGAGAAATATCTAGCCTAGTCTTTGGCCCATTTTTCTATTGAGTTGTGTGCCTTTTTCTTCCTGAATTTTCTACATAGTCTTGATAAAAGTCCTTTATTTATTTGTTTACTGGTGCTGGAGATTGAACCCAGGGCCTCACATGCCAAATACTTGTTGTACCACCGAGCTACAGCCTACATGTCCTATATATGTTATATAGGTAATCTGGGGATTATCACTTCACCCTATTAATGATATCTTTTGGTGAAAAGAAATTCTTAATTTTGCTTAGTCCGGTTTATCAACTTCGTTCTTTATGGTTAGCAGTTTTTTGTGTTTTGTTAGGAAATTTCATTCTATTTCAAATACAGGGAGTTTAAGTCCAACACTTTTGTTGAAATGAAAACATTAAGGCAGAAAGGGCCCTTTTTCTAATCTGCTGGGTTTTGACCCATTGCAAATGTTGGATCCCTTTGCAAGTCTGTCTAAAACTCTGAACCCTCTCATAGAAGCACATGTAACACATACATGGCGCACTTCCCTGCAGTTTCAGAGATTCTAACTGAGGTCCAAGCTTCCTACGGGCCCCTTTTTAGAGCCCCTAACATTTTACGGAAGAGGTAATTGACCAACAAGCGAGCGTCACGCGCCACGCAGCTTGGCCCAGCCAGGCCTAGAACCCAGGTGTCTGGACTCCTGTTCCAGTACTGTTTATAACCCATTTCCCTGCTACAGTCCTTCTGAGAATCTCTGTTTGGCAGAGCCCAGAAGAGAATGTGTTTAGTCGAGGAGGTTTTTGTCCACCAGTAGCAGAAGATGGCTGCATGGTGATGTTCCTCCGCTTTGTGTATTTACCTTAAATGTTTGAGCTCCAAGGAGTCTGTGACTAAGCTTGAAGGTGAGCTGGGAATTATCATGGTCTGTGCATCTGCCTCGAGCCGTGACTCAGCGCCCTGGGGTTGCTGCATTGAACTTCGCAGTGTGCAGCTAACTCCCTGCATTCTGCTCCAGTTCCTGGTTAGTTCTGGCTGTAATTTTAAAAAGCGCCTTATGTAATAAGTTACCGGCCTCTGTTCTCAAGTGGGTGAGGTCTACCAGAATGGTTGCTCCAGGGAGAAAATTAAAAAGGGTGGAAGCAGAGAAAGGAGCTGTGARCTTCTTGTCGGCCTATGTCAGTTCACAAGTAGTCACCCGGTAGATGGACCAGGCCACAGGAGCCAGAGTTGTTAATAATTTTACCTGTACCTGTGGCTTTCTCCCTGTCACTGCCCACAGTAACTCCTTCAAAGGTTCTCAGTGAGCCAGGTACAGCACCACGTGCCTGTAATTCCAGTGACTTGTGAGGCTAAGGCTGGAGGACCGCAAGTTTGAGGCCAGCCTCAAGAACTTAGCAAGACCCTGACTCAAAAAAAAAAAAAAATGGTTTTTTAATTGTTTAAAGAGCTGGAGATGTAATTCAAAAACATGTCGATTCTAAGCAGACTAGGCAGTATACAGGGGGCAGAGCCAGGTATTTTAAAGAGATCACTCAAACCCCAATACCGGGCATGTCTGGAATGAATCCTGTTACCTTGTCAGCATGCTCACAAGCACAGTGCTGGGGATGTGCATTCCAGACTCACAGCACGGTCATTGTGTACATCTAAAAGTGAAAAAGACTATTGGGTTCTTTGGGCCACACATACCCCGAATGATATCACTCTCCACATGAAGGAAGTCAAGTCCATGGTAACATCCTGGAGTAGGAGCCTATCAGATCTGACAGACAAATAGCATTCCCACTTATTTTATCCCATTTTATGTCTTTGCCCTGAGCACCCCCCAGAGCAGCTCTTTYTGTCTCATCATGTAGTTATGATTAAGTCATCAAAGAGTGCTAGAGGGTCACCTAGGGGTGCTAGAGGGTCACTTATCTGAATAAGGTGCATTCGTTCTGACATTTCAAAAGCATTTATTGAGCACGTACTATGTGCTGCAGGGTGTTGTACTATACAATGGGGATGCAGAAATTTATAGGACAAGGTCCCCATCCTCAAGGAGCTCACAGTCTAGCCAGAGGGACGGGTGAGTCCTTTGACAGGCACTATACAGTGGGGTAAGTGCCACTCGGGAGGTGAGCAAGCACAGGTGCATGGGACCATCTTGGCATTTCTTGGAGTAGGAATCCTCAAGCAAGTATTAAGTCTACTAGGCAGAAAGTGGTGGGAACAGCAGGTAGGCAGCATACACAGGGACACAGAAGCAGCAAGCTGAGGTGCTTGGAATATAAGCCTGAGAGAGGGAAAGGGCAAGGATGCCCAATCACATACAGACTTTTTTTTTTTTTTTTTTTTTTGTATATATAACTAGGGATTGAACTCAGGGGCACTTTACCACTGAGCCTTTTTATTTTATTTTTATTTTTCAGTGCTGAGAACTGAACCTAGGACATCATTCATCCTAGGCCAACGCCGTACCACTGAGCTACATTCCCAGCCCTTATTTTTTACTTTGAGACAGGGTTTCACTAAATTGCTGAGGCTGGCCTTGAACTTGGGATCCTCCTGCCTCCGCTTCACAAGTTCTGGGATTACAGGCATGCACTACTCTGCTGGCTGCATACAGGCTCTTATCTGTGCCTTTCTCCTTTTTAAGAGATCTACCAAATCCAAAGGCTGCCAACACACTCATAACTCAAAACTTCACTTATCCCAAGGACTCAGGTTTTGTTGGCATCCATATCACTGTTTCAACAGATAGATACCTAAACCAGAATCACTTCCCCCTTACCAGTCACGATAACCTTTGGTAACCTTTCACTCCCTGAGCTCCCGGAGCATCCCCCTCTGCCCATCACTGCCCCTAGAAGAATCTTCCATAGAACATCCCTGAACTTCTAGAAGAATCTTCCATAGAACATCCCTGAACCTCTCTGCACATCCACCCCAACAGCCTCCATTTTCTCACCCTCTCTTCTTTTCTCTTTCAGGCTTGAAGAATTCAGTGATTTACAGTTCACTAAAACTGCACAAAATGTGGAAAGGATGGCTGAGGAAAACATCCTGATTTTGCTTGCTTTTTATAAGTGTTATGTATAGATGAATAAAGTGTTTGATCCTTTTTAACAGAACAGCGTTTGTTACCTTGACCCACTGCGTGAATTTTGAAGAGACTGCTATTTGTCTTCTATTTGATTTTTTTGAAATGTATTCATCAGATATTTACCCAGGTGGGACTCCAAATATGTAAGAGGGCTGAGCAGCCAAAGAAGAGAACCATGAGTCCTGCATTTTGTAGACATTGGAGAGTCGGAGACATGACAGGTGATGTGTGCCCAGATGGACATGCAGTCCAGGAGGATTGCAGGCTGGGCAGGCGGAGCTTGACCTGTCTGCTTCTGTCCATAGTCTCCCTCTTATTTCCTCTGGCTTTGCCAGCAAGAGTATCGTGTGAGGATTTTTCTGGATTAGGCTTTTTACCTTTTTGTTTTCCACGGTGTGTGACAGAGTGACTTTCGGATGAGGAGCCTGAGACAGACACTACAGAGCCTACAGACACGTTTAGGCAACAAGACCTCCATGACAGTTACCTGGACTAACAGGATGGACTCATTCATTCTCCCCAGTCTCTTTCCATCTCTCTGCTGTCCGTCCTTCACAGTGTTGGTGTCTTACTGAAGCTGGCTCCCCTCATAGTTGTGAGAATGCTGGCAACCATTTCCAGGGCTGTCGTTTCCCCGTTCCATTTTGGGGAGACAGAAGATTCTTTTCAGGACTTATCTTAGAAAAGCAAGAAGGAAAACTTCCCAGCAGCCCCCAGCAAGCCTCTGTTTGTATTCATGGGCCCTAATTGAGTGACATATTCATTCCTGAGCCATTAAGTGACAGAAGGATGGACCATGCTGACGAGCTCAGGCCTGAGCTCCTTACCCCTCTCCAAGAGGCCGCTGCCCCACAGGCTCTGGGACTGCGGAGAATGACTGGACACCTGAATAGAAACTGAGGAGGAAGGGCGTCAAGAAGCAAGCCCGTATCCATCTCATTACATGGATCTGTCCAGTCAAAGCTCAAGATTCTTTTTTCCTTCACAGCCATGTGACTTTGGATGAATTGTTTAATCTCTCAACAGTTTCACCATTACAAGATTTCATGAATTGAGAACTAAGATTTATTCATTCTTTGTCATTTGCTGCCATCATCTTTTGTACCATGGTTTTTGTTATTTTCTTCCTTAAAAAGCTAAGATGATTTCCCACTGCTTATAGGACAAATAAGAATCTTACCTGCCTTGCCGGGTGCAGTGGCACATGTCTGTAATCCCAGGAGCTTGGGAGGCTAAAGCAGGAGGATCCCAGGTTGAAAGCCAACCTCAACAATTTAGTGAGGCCATGAGCAACTTAGCAAGACCCTGTCTCAAAATACAAAAAGGCTGAGGGATGTGGCTCAGTGGTTAAACACYCTGGGTTCAATCCCAGGTACCCTCCCCAAAAGGAAGAATCTTACCAGCCTCATCCATACCTTCTATAATTGGGCTTTATTTTACTTAAACCTTTGCCCCTGTGTCTGATACAGCTTTTTATATCCCCAAGGTAGATAACTTTGCAAAGTAGAGTGTGTCAGAATAGCAGATCCATTCAACAGATGTGGAATCTGAGACATCTGGAGAGAAGGTGACTGCCTGGGGTCATAACAGGTGAGTGATGTAGCTGGGACTTGAACCCAGGCTCCCAAGCGTCTGTCCCGTGCCTTTTCCCACACACCCTGCAGCTCTCATGAGAAATGAACACTCAAGTCTTTGTGTTCCTCTGTCCCCTACATGCATTCTCGTATTCCTCTTCCTTGATCCAGTTGAAAGGTACATACTATCTAAGTTGGGAGTTATCCAACTGGTACGTAAGGGTGAGAGGTGAGCGTTCCTGTGGGGAAGATGGAGCCCTTTGGCAAGAAGTAGTGCTTTTTGTTACTGAAGATCCAAGAAAGAAATGTGTTCCCTCTCCAGCTGTGTCCTTGGGCAAGTTGTTTAAAACTTAAGAGTCTCAGTCTCCACATCTGTAATGTAGGCATACTCACACCCCTCTRTCAGGGTTGGTGTTAGAATTAAGTGTGATAATTCATAATCTATCTAGTGTGGTTCTTGGTACATAGTTAATATTTCTACAAGTATCGTAGCCATTCAATTCAAATGGTGAATTTGGATAGCTAGAGGTAATCCCACATTAGATAGAGTCCTGTTAGGAAGAAAGAAACTACCCTAAGTATATCAAGTAGAAGGAATTTAATATAGGGAAATAGTTGTTAAAATATGGAAGGAGCTAATAAGAGAAGGTGGGGGTGCTAAAGGAGGAAGAGGGGCTGTGTGCAGAGAGCAGGGAGCTGCTTACACCCCTGTGCTAGAATCTACAGGCCAACATCTAATGCTGTGTTGCTGCCTATGGTGGTTTAAAAAAATACATCCTCAAATTCTTTGGCCCTCCTTCCATCAGTATGTGGAATTTAATTTCCCTTCCTTGAATATGAGCTGGCCTTAGTGACTTGCTTGTAACAGAATGCAGTAGACAAGATATTATGTGCCTTCTGAAGCTAGATCTCAAGAAAGAGAACAAAAGATAATAAACTTCAGCCTGGCTCCTGGGATGCCTCTTTACACCCTTAACAGCTTCTAAGGTTGCCATGTTGTAAGAAATCCTGCCACACTCAGCCAGCCAGCTACAGCCAACATCAACTGCCAGGTGAGTGAGTGAGCAAGGCTTTGCCACAACTCCAGCCCCAGCCCCTTTTCTGCAACAGCTGGAGATACCCCAAGCAGGAACCACTTAGCCAAGCCAAATCARCTCCCCAAAATCTAAGAAAACAATAATTCTTGAAGTCAGTAAGTTTGGGGGAGGCTTGTGGGCAGCCTTAGATAACTGGCATAGTGCCCCCACCACTGCTGGAGATGCCACTTGTCAATCACCAGTGCTTGCTGCTGCTGTTGAGTCGACCCTGGGAACTTCTCTCATCCTCCCACCTGATCTGCCACTGTCTCCAATGGGAAGAACTGAATAGAAGTTGGGGACTGTGGTTTGCAGGCTCCTACTCCCATCAGAACAGAGATGAGTTTTAGAAAAATAGGTGTTGAGTGCAGAGACTCCAGATAACTGACATGGTCCACTCTTGTGGGGATAGCATCCACATGTGCCCTTCAGTCATACGAAGACCTCTGCCCAACTGCAGCAATCAGCCCCTTCCACCCATCATGAAGCAGCTCACCTTCACCCAATAGAAGAGGCTCTCACTCTGGCAGGAGAGAGAAGAGTAAAGTCCTGAAGTTACTTCATCAATCTCTGCAATAGTTACTCCTTTTTAATTACAATCCCAGCTGGATATTGTATAACCTAGAAACTAGCCTATTAAGCCACCCACACTCTATATAGAAAAATAGGTGAACAAAGAGGGTTAAAAATACATATGTGCCTGTGTGAGAGAGAGGGATAGAGTGTGTACATCTACCTTATCAAGCAAGGAAGGAAATACATATTCATAGCTCATTTTAACATTGATCATGATATCCTATTGATGATTATAACATATTTCTTCCATTACCCATCCTGTGTTCCTATTGTCCTTAGCCTGCACTTCAGTTGGGCATTTCCTTACCTTTTAGAATGACCCAAGCCCTCATTACTAAAGAGCTGTCTTTATGGAGTTGTTCCAGGCTTTTGTTGTTTTTTTCCATTGAACATGGCTCCATACCATATATTGGATAGTGAGAATTTGATTAGTTCTTACAGCATTTCTCATATGAACTCATTTATCCCCACAGTAACCTTATAAGGCATGGACTATTATTCTAACTTGACAGCTGAGTAACTGAGTCTTAAAGAGGTTAAGAAGTTTGCCCAACCAAGGACCTGAACAGACACTTCTCAGAGGAGGATATACAATCAATCAACAAGTACATGAAAAAATGCTCACCATCTCTAGCAGTCAGAGAAATACAAATCAAAACCACCCTAAGATACCATCTCACTCCAGTAAGATTGGCAGCCACTATGAAGTCAAACAACAACAAGTGCTGGCGAGGATGTGGAGAAAAGGGTACTCTTGTACATTGCTGGTGGGACTGCAAATTGG